ATGATCAACTCATCATCAACTTGACAAACACTAATGTCGACAGTCTAGTCTTCGATGACGTTGCAGCTGCTGTTCTCCAAGAAGAAAATCGGCGCAAGAACAAGGAAGACAGACAAGTAAATCTGCAACAAGTAGAAGCGTTGACAACGATGAGAGGGAGATCAACAGAACGTGACCAAAGCAGCAGTCACAAACATGGTAGATCGAAGTCGAGGAGCAAAAAGAATTTAAAGTGTTACAACTGTGGAAAGAAAAGTCATTTGAAGAAGGATTGTTGGATTCTAAATAAAAACTCCAATCCACAAGTCAATACCACAAACACTTCAGATGATGGATATGTTCTATGTTGTGAAGCGTCAACCACCGTGGAAGGTAGAAAACGATTTACAGATATATGTCTAATTGATTCGGGAGAAACATATCAAATGACCTCAAGAAGAGAATAGTTCCATCATTATGAACTTGTCTCAGGAGGATCTGTGTATAGTTACAATGATCATGCCTTAGAAATCGTTGGCGTTGGAACCATCAAGTTGAAGATGTATGATGGAACACTTAAAGTTGTTCGAGATGTGCGACACGTGAAAGGCCCGAAGAAAAATTTATTATCCTACGGATTGTTGGATAATAATGCAAGCAAGATTGAAACACAGAGAGGAATCATGAAGGTGTTCCGTGGAGCGCTTGTGGTGATGAAAGGCGAAAAGATGACAACAAACTTGTACATGCTTAAGGGAAAGACTTTGCTAGAAGCAGAAGCCTCTGTTGCCTCATGTTGTTTAGATTCTGCAATGCTATGGCATCAGAAACTTGGACACATGTCAGAACAAGGAATGAAAGTCATTGTGGAGCAAAAACTACTTTCAGGCTTAACAAATGTATCACTTACTTTTTGTGAGCATTGCATAACAAGTAAGCAACACCGGTTGAAATTCAACACATCAAATTCTAGAGGCAAAAATGTTCTAGAATTGGTTCACTCTGACGTATGGCAAGCACCAGTTACATCCATAGGCGGAGCAAAAATATTTTGTCTCATTTATTTATGACTACTCCAGGAGATGTTGGGTGTACCCTATTAAAAAGAAGTCAGATGTGTTTTCAACTTTCAAAAACTTCAAAGCACCTGATTCTGGAAATAAGATAAAGTGTTTCAGAATAGAAAATGGAGGAGAATACACAAACGAAGAATTTGATGACTTTTGCAGGAAAGAAGACATCAAAAGATAGTTCACAGTGGCGAACACTCCTCAACAAAATGGAGTGGCAGAGCGGATAAACAGAACCTTGTTAGAAAGAACAATAGCAATGATGAGGGATGCAGGCCTAAAAAAATTATTCTGGGCAGAAGCAGTCAATATCGCATGTTATTTGGTGAATAGAGCTCCATCAACTGCGATAGAGCTGAAGACACTAATGGAGATATGGACTGGTAAACCAACTGATTATTCAAACCTCCATGTATTTGGAAGTATAGTGTACGTGATGTACAACTCCCAAGAAATTTCAAAGCTGGATCCAAAATCCAGGAAATGCAAATTCTTGGGGTATACTGATGGTGTAAAGGGGTATCGCTTGTGGGATCCCACTGCCCCGCAAAGTGATCATCAGCATGGATGTTACCTTTGTAGAAGATAAGCTACAAAGAAAAGAAGATGATGATAGTGCTGAAAAGTCAGAGACTACACATATACATGTGGAAAAAGAGGTTGAACAAGGAGATTCTTCTGAAGCAGAACCATCACATGATGAACAAAAACCAGAGAGTTATGAAGCTCCAACAACTCGCCAATCAGATCGTGTGAGAAGACGTCCTAATTGGCACTCAGATTATGTTATAGAAGGTAATATTGCATACTACCTTTTAACAGATGATGGTGAGCCATCAACATACCAAGAGGCAATAAATAGCTCAGATGTTTCACCGTGGATGATGGCGATGTAAGAAGAAATCGAAGCCCTTCATAAAAATAATACATGGGATCTTGTGCCACTACCACAAAGAAGGAAGCCAATTGGTAACAAATGGGTCTTCAAAATCAAGCGAAATTATGATGATCAAGTTGAGAGGTATCGTGCAAGACTGGTGGTCAAAGGATATGCTCAAAAACAAGGTATTGATTTCAATGAAATATTTTCTCCTCTGGTTCGACTAACAACAGTTCGAGTAGTTTTGGCAATGTGTGCTATATTGAACTTATATCTAGAGTAGCTAGATGTTAAAACAACTTTTCTTCATGGAAATCTTGAAGAAGAGATCTACATGCTCCAGCCTGAAGGTTTTGAAGAAAAAGAAAAGAAGAACTTGGTTTGCAGGTTGAACAAATCTCTGTACGGTCTAAAGCAGGCGCCAAGGTGTTGGTATAAGAGATTTGATTCCTTCATTATGTGCCTTGGATATAACAGACTTAATTCAGACCCTTGTGTTTTTTTTCAAGAGGTCTGGTGATAACGATTTTGTTATATTGCTGTTGTATGTGGATGACATGTTGGTTGCAGGACCCAACAAAGATCATATTGAAGAATTGAAGCCACAACTGGCTAGGTAATTTGAAATGAAGGACTTGGGATCAGCAAACAATATTCTAGGAATGCAAATTCACCGAGACAGAAGTAATAGGAAGATTTGGCTTTCACAAAAGAATTACTTGAAGAAGATATTGTCAAGATTCAACATGCAAGATTGTAAGCCAATTTCTACCCCTCTTCTTATTAACTTCAAATTATCCTCCAGTATGAGTCCTAGCAGTGAAGAAGACAAAATGAAGATGTCTCGAGTACCGTATGCATCAGCAGTGGGAAGTTTAATGTTCTCTATGATATACACAAGACCAGACATTGCACAAGCAGTGGGAGTGGTTAGTCGGTACATGGTGAATCCAAGCAAAGAGCATTGAAATACAATAAAGAGGATCCTGAGATACATCAAAGGGACCTTAAATATTGCATTATGTTACGGAGGATCAAACTTACTAATCAATGGGTATGTAGATTCTGACTATGTAAGGGATTTGGATAAAAGCAAATATACGACAGGATATGTGTTCAAAATTGCTGATGGAGCTGTAAACTGGGTTTCAAAATTGCAGTCAATTGTGGCTACATCCACAACAGAAGCAGAATATGTAGCAACTACACAAACCAGTAAAGAAGCAATTTGGTTGAAGATACTATTGGAGGAGCTTGAGCACAAGCAAGAGTATGTCTCTCTGTTTTGTGACAGTCAAAGCACCTTTCATTTAGCAAGGAATCCAACATTTCATTCAAGGTCAAAACACATACGAGTTCAGTACCATTTCATTCGTGAAAAGGTGGAAGAATGGACGGTAGATATGCAGAAAATCCATACCAAAGACAACATAGTAGATTTCATGACGAAGGCTATCAATGCCGATAAATTTACTTGGTGTCGATCCTCTTGTGGCCTGTCAGAGACATAAGCAACATGATGGTACAAGATAGAAAGAATGGTGTGAAGATATGACTGTTCCAATCAAATCTTCAAGTGAGAGATTATTGAAAATTAGCAAATCCACCGAAAGGTGGAATTAAAAATTCCACCGAAAAAAAATTGTCAAAAAGGGTTGGCTATTTGTTGAAAATCAATAATGGTAAAATCTCAATTTTAGTCATTATAATTTAGGGTATTTACAAATTAGTTCTTAAGCTTAAACTATAAATACCCTAGCTCATTTAACTTCAAAATCATCCCAAATCATTCTAGCTTTCTCCCAATACTAGAGAATTTAGAGAGTTTCTTGAGAGTTGTTTTCTCCTATTTATTAAGAGAGAATTATAATTTGTTTTCTCCTTAGTAGATAGAGAGAAGTTGTAATTCATATTTTCTCATAGTGAAATTCTTCTACCGTTGCCCGTGGTTTTTACCCTATATTATTTAGGGGTTTTCCACGTAAAATTTTGTGTCTCTTTTATCTTCCATTTTATTTTCTCAAATTATCAGTTGTGATTTTACTCTATCCGATAGCCGTCTTCCTCAACAGAGAGTGCACCAAGAAAGTTTCAAGATACTAGTAAGCAAAGATTTTCCTTTCCATTTGTTATATGCCCAAACTAGCAAATTTGTCCAAGTGAAAGGAAATTTGTGTATACCTGTGAGTTGAAGAATTGAGTTCCAGATTGAAGAGTCATCTTACATTCGACAAATAGGTGATCTCTGGATTCCCGTGCTTCAGAACAGAGAATGCACTGATCATTAGTATCAATACCAAATCGTTGCAGCCTATCCTTGGTAGAAAGACCATCCAAGAAATCAAGCTGCGCTTGGGAATGTGAAATGAATACCAAACCAGATTATGCCAGAAGACTTTACTGCCTTTCAATCGAACCTCTTCCCAAATCTGCTTGGTAGTCATTGCTCTAGAAGCAAGAAGAGGCCGAGCAATAATTCGAAGTTTCATGATTTTCATTTGAATTTTGGTATGACAATATCAAATATTTTTAATACATTCATTGCATTTTGATTAATTTAAGAACACACTTGGGATTAAATAAAGGAGATAGTTTAACCAAAAAATCAATAAAATTATGAAATAATGCGGTGAAAAAATTACTAATCGATTTGGGGTGTTTGAGAAATTATTTTTTGAAGTGGAATAAAATAAACATTATTATTTATAAGACGTCAGAAATATAGTGCATCTCTTGGAAGATATAGTAATCACTATACGTTTTATGTATGAATCTGTTGAAGTAGCGAGGGAAAACGAAACGGAAAATGTATTGTCGTTCATGCGTCTTTCAGAATTAAATTGAAGACATGTAATATTTCTATCGCCTTCTTCGTTATAATGTAATAGTCACCCTAATCCAAAATATAACCTTTGAAGTGGATTATTATGAAAATCTTTTTTTCTGATATATAATCTCAGTCATTTTGTTAAAAAAAAATTACAAACATAAATAAGATCGAAAATAACTTCTAGATGAGGATTTCGAAGGTTAGTTGTTATTCTTCTAATATATTCATGTATGTATGTTCATCAGTTGATCTGTACTCCAAAAAGGGTTACACTTCTCTTCTCTACTGTTTCATCTTCACCACTAATACTACAGTAACTCTTCTTCCCTAAATTCAGCTCCAACTCCAAATTATCCTTCCGAACGTCGTCATCGGCCGATGTATCTTTCCGGCCATTGTAATTCACATCAATGAGGAAGAAATTCCTACTATTTTGATCCCATCCGGGGCACTCTTCGCATGCGTAGAACGTCACAGCATCTTTCTCACTGAGTTTCTTCTCCTTCACGAATCGGCTCCATCCCCTTGTGAACACAAAGCTCTGGCTGCTCCTCCAGTAGCAGTAACGAAATCTCCATGTCTTCATTAACTTGTCGTAGAAGACAAGCTCGGCGTCTTCGACCGCACCGCCGGCCAACCTCTGTTGATCGGTCTCGCGGATTTGAGGGAAGTGTTTAACGGCGTGTTTTTTAGGGATCACGAGCCGGTTAAGCTTGCCGACGTCGCTCGGTGTTAATTCCTTTTGGAAAAGCTGAGTGCATGAAAACTGTGTATCGCCATGTACGAGCTTCTTGCTAAGATTAACGGTCGATCTCCCTTCTTTGTTAGACAAAATCTTGACGAAATCTTCCAACTTGGCTTGATACGAACCGTCTCTGATCATGTTCTGTACATCTTCGTCGGAATAGAGGCTTTGAAAGGCCGGTTCTTGGACGTTGAGATCGGTCCGGGGGAAGTTCCGATGGGTGTTGCCGCCGCACCGTAGCTTGATGGCCGCACTGTCGTATGCCATGGCAGCCTCTTTCTCGGACTTGAACGTCCCGAGCCATATCCGGTGGTGGTTGGCGTATATTTGTGCACCCCAATGCCCATTTTGCTGTGGGACGACACCTTTAAACCTCGGCAACGACCCACCGTGATCGTTCCGCCGGACACGTTTGCTGGGACGATGATCGAAGCTGCTCTCGCCTGAATCCGAGGTTCCGGCCGGAAAAGCACTCCATTTAGTGTTCAAAACAATGCTCGAATCATCGTCCATCACTAGATCCTGGTCTTAAAAACAAATCTATGTGATGAAGGATAATGAAAATGGCAGGTTTTTGAATATGAAAGATGATTACCAACAATTATAATAAAAATGTAGAAGATTAAGTTAAAACCATAAATCTAACTTAAAATGGTAATTAACACAGCATAATCAAGTAAGTTGAAACAAATTCTGTGAGTGAATAACTCTTAATCATATTTTGTTTAACTTCAATTATTTACTTAGCCTCTCAGTTAGATCCTATTCAACTAAACAATTGCCTCTGGTTCAATGGTTTTTAACCAAAACAAATTATAAATTCAAACCAAATTTTAAACCGTTTTTATTTGAAAAAAAAATACAGGCTATTTAAATAAAAAATTATAAATATTAGGGTAAAGTACACAAATGGTCCCTCGACTATAGGATACTGCTTCATCAAGTCCCTCGACTTTTAAAAGTTATAAAATAATCTTCCGACTATGGAATGTTGCTTTATTAAGTCCATCGACTATTAAAAGTTACAAAATGGTCACCTGACTATTCATTATGTTCCAAACTCGTCATTTTCCGTTAAAAAATTGGCAGTTGCCTAAGTTGGACGATAACATGATAAGTGGGATAAGATAATCGTTTGAGATTCTGAGATAAGATTTTATCATATCACAATCAATAGGTTAACGTTCAGTTGAGAATACCATCAAATTTTTAATAGAAAAGGATGAGTTTGGAACAAAATGAATAGTTGGGTGACCATTTTATAACTTTTAATAGTCGATGGACTTAATAAGATAGTACCCTATAGTCGGGGGATCATTCGTGTACTTAACCCTAAATATTAACCAAATATATTATTAATTCACAATTTACATTTTTTTGTTATTATTTTGGTAATAACCCCCCTAAAATTATGTACAAATCAAAATTACTGTAAGTAAAAGGCAAAGCAACATTTGTAATAATAGACTTAATAGTACATGAATTGTTCTGCACTTTCTTCACTTTTTGTTTATGATTGCAGTGAATCAAGGCCTAGCAACATTAGCATTCTTTGGAGTAGGAGTGAACTTGGTGTTGTTCTTAACCCAGGTTCTCGACCAAGACAACGCTAGCGCTGCCAATAACGTTAGCAAGTGGACCGGAACCGTCTACCTGTGCTCGCTGATCGGAGCGTTCCTTAGTGATTCATATTGGGGTCGGTACTTGACATGTGCCATCTTTCAGCTCATACTTGTGCTGGTACCGGATAATCAAATTCGTTCTTCTTCATTTATGTATGCACTTGATTTCAGTAGCACTGATTGTGAAATGTTGTTACAGAGTTTGGGACTACTGTCACTCGCTTCAAGGCTTTTCTTGATAAATCCTGCTGATTGTGGTGATGGAATAAGACTCTGCAACACCCCATCACAACTCGGTTTTTCTATGTTTTACTTATCGATATATCTTGTAGCGTTCGGATTCGGCAGGCATCAACCGGCCTTAGCCACATTTGGATCAGACCAGTTCAATGATTCGCATCACAAAGGAGCGAACTTGAAAGCTGCATTCTTTAGTTACTTCTACTTTGCACTCAATGTTGGCTCTCTATTTTCAGACACTATACTGGTTTACTATGAGAATTCAGGCATGTGGACGCTAGGCTTCTTGGTTTCTTTCGGCTCTGCAATCATAGCCCTGTTATTCTATCGGTCGGGGACTCCGAGATATCGGTACATGAAAGCGAGTGGCAATCCGCTGCCCCGCGTCGCTCAAGTATTCGTGGCTGCATATAGGAAGTGGGGTGTCACGCCGGCTAATGCCGGTGCCTTGTATGAGGTCGAACGAACCGAATCCGCAATCAAAGGTAGCAAAAAGATACTTCACACTTCACAGTGATGAGTTCAAGTAAGTATAAGATCAATCATGGACATTGGACACTTTGTGATGATGCTACTTTATCATTGGTGCTTTGTTAAGCAGCTGAAAATCGATCTGCAGGTTCCTCGACAAGGCGGCTATGATAACTCCGAATGATTTGAGTGCACCAAACAATCCATGGAGGCTTTGCACCGTGACACAGGTTGAAGAAGCCAAATGTGTACTAAAAATGTTACCAATTTGGCTTTGCACTATAATGTACTCTGTAATCTTCACGCAAATGGCATCCCTTTTCGTGGAGCAAGGAGATGTAATGGCGTCCAAACTCGGAGACTTCCGCATTCCGGCAGCGAGCATGTCGGCATTTGACATTTGCAGCGTGCTCATCTGGACCGGGGTGTACCGACACGTTGTCATTCCCCTGGCTCGAAGATTAAGCAATAACCCCAAGGGACTAACCGAGCTTCAAAGAATGGGATCGGACTCATCACCGAGATACAAAGGCTCAAATCCGTGACACCGGGAGAGAAGAAAAGCTCTCTAAGCATTTTCTGGCATCTGAAGTTTTCATGTACGTTGGTCAATTGGAGTTTTTCAATGCACAAGCACCGGATGGCATTAAAAGCTTCGGGAGCTCCCTTTGCATGGCTTCCATGTCTCTCGGCAACTTCGTTAGCAGCCTGTTGATCAACATAGTCATGGAGATCACGACGAGAGACGGCGGCCCCGGATGGATCCCCGAGGACCTCAACTCTGGCCACATGGACCGGTTCTACTTCCTCATCTCCGGTCTAACCGTGGTCGATTTCATAATCTATGTGCTCTGTGCCAGATGGTACACTTGCATCAACCTTGACACCAGCGAGAAGGGCATTGAATTGGAAAAACAACAGGAGGAGGTGCATGCAAATGTTTAGTTTGTATCCATTTTGGACATGGGAGGCATGAATTTTACCTGCATGATTCCCTCCTTTGTACGTTATTATAATCTGTGTGTTGTTGTCTGTCTTTATTTTTCACTGTTATTATAAATAAAAAATCTAATATTATGATTATTATCTTAAATTTTCAATATTTTCTATTTTTTATAATTATGAATATTTGAATATTCATATTATTTATGTGTATGAGGATTTGAATATTTGGATTCGATTACAAATTACAAAATTAAGAATTCGTTAGTTTAAGGGAATTCGAGCGTTGACAATCTAATCATTAGTCTATTTAAATTCGGATTTGTAGGCAATGGTAAATCTCATATTAATTAAATATTGATTTTTATGTAGCACTTGCACTTTCTTATTGTCACTCGACTTGATTCGAGTTTGTGTTATTCTAATATAAAAAATTAGGGTACTTGTCAGTAAGTATTGTACTTAATTATCATTTAGTATTATACATAAATTTATGTACCAAAAAAATCATACATAAATTTATATTATTAGTAATTATCAAATCAATCAATGAAAATTCACAAGTATTACACCTCGAATAATACGCGTACGGGCTGTGAGGAGGAAACCATTTTGTGTATTTTTGTAAAAATCCTGTGCTAGGTTGTTCGTCATTTTTTCGTTTGTCTTCTCCCCTTGCTTCTGCTCTTTTTAGCGGTCTCTCTCTCTGGTTAAGCAAGGGAGTGAATAATCGGTTTGCTTCGTGGTTTTGCCTTTCCTTTCATTTATGTTGCTGTTTGTTTTAGTTTCTCCGCCAGCTGTTTTGGCACTTTGTTTTCTTTTCCTCATCGTTGCGTTTGGCTTGGACACTTGTGTTCCTTTAATAGATGATAACCTGCTTTTCTTGTTTAAAAACAAAAAAAAAAAAAATTCCAGGTCATAACATGTGCGGTGTTTGAACTTGAAATCTCGAGATAAAACAACAATCTTTTAATCAATGAGGCCATTCAATTTGTGCTAATTACATGGGATAGAAATTGCCTACCAGAGTTGTCAAATTACATTGAAAACGGCCGGTTACATACTGTTTTAGTATATATTGCTCGAACATCAAATTGTACTCGAGGCTCCCATTCACTATCACAAATGAAAACCCCATATGTTCCTTTACTTCCTCCCCAATTTTCACCTTGATTGTTATAACATCCATACTCAAAATAGTGCGATCACACCAGGGTGGGGACATCATATTGGTGCAATCCCTTTAATTCGATTCGAATATTTAGAAGGGTAACGAATGTTTGGGGACGAACTTGAGTTTTTAAATTTCAAGAATTCAATAGAAAATACAGAGAAAAAACCTAGAATATAAGATAATTTTAAACTTTCAGGATGACTATCCTACCCTTCCCCCTGTCTGTCCATCCCTGGTGACGAGCAAAGAAGCTAAGCCTTTTTTTCCCATGTAATTCAAACCAGGAAAACGAGAGGACCAAACCAACTGTTGAGGTCCAGGTGACTGATGTAACAGCCTGCAAATTCATATCAGTCTCCCCATGAGAATGAATGAGAGGGGACCAAACCTAATGTTGTACTCCATTGATGTAACCCCCAAATCCAGGCCTCTCATCTTCTTTATGTTGCTTCTATCTCTATGCTAATTAACAACATTTCATTCTGATATTATCGTTCATTTGCCTCTCATTTTCTTCATGTTGCTCCTATGAAGTAAGGAACAGTGGAAAGGTTGACCAGAGGTATCTATCATTGATGTCTCTATCCACCAAATAATGCATTGTTGTTGTTGTTATTTGGTTTGGTCAATGTCAGTGTCGGAAATCACACGAGTTTGAGCAGTGAACATTACGTAAAAGGCCATGATTTTTCTCCATGTGGGGCATTAAGTTTCCATTGATGCCATGTTATAATTGCTAAATACATGCAATTATTCCTTCTCTCTTCAAAAACGGGCGGTTAATATTAATCCTTCAGAACAAGCAGAGCAAACCCATTAGTTGTAGTTTGGAACTTTTTAATCCAGTTTCTAGGTTTTTTTTATTAAAAAATCCATTTTTTATTAATTTAAAAAACCCATCCAGAATTATTTGAAAAAAAATACTCCCAAACGACCCACGTAAGAATACTTCGCTGGGTCAGAATATTTCGGTTTTTGCAGAACTAGATTATCTACGTGGAAGAACTTAGACACGAGAAATACATAAAACTCTAAAAACACTTTTTTGCAGAATGCAAGATATTAATAAAAAAGGACTATTGATTAAAAAAACCCCAGTTTAGATACCTTCCCACTGATTTCATGTTTCTGACACTAATGAACTCTACTGACGGAAAGTGTTTCTTTTTATATAAAAAATTAAAATCAATAGGAAAAATAACCATAATCAAGTTTGTTGGGTTGAAAGAAAGAAGAAAATGCCAATGGTCATAAAATTTATAGCATTGCAAACCATGTATTTGATTAGATGCAGATCACCTGGGCAGTAAAATTTGGCATGGAATGATCTAGCATGACAATGGAAATTTGAGATGGAAACGAAATTCAATCTCTTATGATAGTTTCCTTTGTGGTTATTTACTGCAGAACAATTGTCTCATAATAATACGATATGCATGTTAATATCCAACGGCCCATGCTACGGATCGATAGGCTTCTTTCATCGATCCAAGTTCATGGATGATTCATCCCAAGTATGGGGAGCTTCCTGAAAATAACATCATCATGCAATGCATTGAATCAAAACTATAAGCAACGGTACTATCAATAAAGTTCGATTGTCGAATCTTGCTGAATGAAATCGGATAGAAGAGCCGTCAGTTTTCTCAAAGTGTCTCTTGCATTCAAGATCTTGTGGCTGAACCCTCAGCATAACACCCGCCATTGGATTCATGGCCTACAGGTATCTAACCACCACAACATTGAACAAGAAGGATGGACGGTAATACAAGGTTGAAAAGTTATTAGTTACCAAGTGTTGTCAGATATGCAATCCATGTTAATAGTAACAAACACCAGATAGATGATGAGCATGCTTGTTTGTAGATACACTTAGCGAAACAGCCTTTGCACTGATCTCTTAGGCACTTTGCCTTCAAGCTTCAGTTGTCTATAAGCTTCTCGGATGTGGCAAGGCCTGATTGGGCCAGATTCTTTTCTCTCCGTCATGACCATTCTAGCTGAAAACCACCAAAGCAATGACACTTGGTAAAGAAATTTTCCAGCTGCATTTACCAAGAACATTTAACTACTACAGGAGAAAAGTGCATATACCTTTCTCAACAAGTTCACCAACAAACATTTTTGCTATCCCACACACAACAATGGTCATTGGTAATGAAATTTTCTGGCTGCCAGTTATGCTTACCAACAACTACATTCACCAAGAACAAACTTTAAGTCAGTGTATAATTCAAATCATGTTTTGCGATATTGAAACACATAATTGAGCCATGGACTTTGAGCAAGCTGCAGTACATATACCGTAAGGAATCTCATGTCTATTCATCAATAACTGGAAAAATTTTCAGCTAATAATCACTACCTCATAAATGAAATGTTAAAAAATAACAATCGAAATGTAGGCAGTTTAATATGTCACCTTTATCTTTTAAAAGAAGCATAAAGCAAGAACAGAATTTAGAGCATGTAAAGATACAACAAATAATTATAGACCCATCAAATAATGATAATAAAAGAAAATTCTTGAGAAAGACCACAAAAAAAGCAGCAACCTACTACTACTAATAATGATTCTAGAGAAAGCCACTCAAAAATGCTTTGCCAAGAAGCCTACCCTTCTCATGTTAGACTTTTGAAGTGCAGATCTCCTAAATGATTCATATCTACTCATCTGGTCCTCTGTGAATTGTGATAAAATAGTTCTGAAAAGAAGAAAAATATTTAACAGCTTTAGACAGATGCACCCTATATCGGAGAAAGGCAATAGAAAAGGCAAGAGATTTTCAATTTTGAAATAGTTATACATAGTCATTTAAAACACCAGAAAACTTGGTTGTTTACCAGATACATAATATTTTAAAAACAGAACAGCAATATGGAAAGAGAAAGAGGGAGTAGGGGAACTCACTGCATCTTGGCCATTTTAGCAGGGTCAACACTAGAAGGGAACTTGCTTAGCTCAACCTCCACATTTTCCTCTTCTTCGTCATCGTCATATTCTTTGTTCTTTTTGGTGACAGCAGCAACAACATTAGCATTAGCCCTTGAGAAGTGCAACTTAGGAGTTGAACTCGATGACGGATGAGAGGGATTTTTGCTGTTGGAACCGATATCATCGTAATCATCATCATCTACAAGCATATTCTGTCCACCATCGGTTTGGTTCTGGGCTTCATTTGGAGCTTGATTGTTCAACTCATCCTCACCAACTGGGGAATCAGGTGGCGATTCCTCTTGCTCCACCAATGCTGCTTCAAATGGATCCTTCGATTGCTTCATTCTATCTAACAAACCATTGCAAAGGTAATGCACATAAATCACATGGTAGAAAGAGAAAAACCACTGGATGGTAAAAGGATATCACCGGTTAGGGAGATATAGGAGTTTTACTTAATAATGTTACAGCTAGATGCTAGAGTAGGGATTTAGAAATTAAGATGAGCAGGAGGGTTTTGGCTAAGGTTTTAACGTTGAAGAGTATAGAGAAGAACAAACATGTTCTACAGGTCCAGAGTAAAAATATACATGTTTCAGAAATGCTAGCAGATGCATGTGGGAATGAATACCGCAACAAAGATGCAATATTGCCAACAATTGCTCTATCAGTTTATCTAATCAAGACCAACAAAGAAAGAGAAAACAAGGGAAAGACAAAGAAACAGCTGAGTAGATCGAAATGGCATACCTGGGCAATAGCAATCAAGCGGGCCTGCCCAATTTCAGCCCGCCAATTTAACTATTGTTTCATTATTAAAACAAAACAATGTTAATTTAATATGCTTACATCCAGTTTATCTGGAAGGTAGACTGCAATGGAGAGCCCTCACCATCTCGTCTATCCTTAACCAGATTAGGGTCGCAATCAAATGTAGAGTAGAGTAGATGGCTTCAATAGATCCAGGGAGGCATTGTTAATAAAATGCTCCTTAAGAACTAGGGGGCAGATGATAAGATTCCTGTATAGATATTCTTTGTTCTTATTGTCTTTTTGTTGAAATTATGAACTTATGAGTAGCTTGCCGATCAATTCAGCAGGTTCCCATTCTAGAACGCAAATATGCTTGTGAATACAAATCTCATTTTCAAAAACAAATAATATTTTAAATTTAACAGTGAGAAAGAATATATTTTAAATTGAAAAACATATTTTAATCATACAATAAAAGGTCTAAAAATCTATGCCAAGGCATGAGCCAGAACTAGGGCGGGAGCGGAGAGAGCCCAGGTCCTTGGATAAATTTAATTTTGATTATAAAATCCTAAATACAGTTAAAATGAATAAAATCCAAATAATGCGCATACTGTTATTTGGCATTAAGAAATTCGATCCAAGAACAATATACAGGAAGATGACCACCGAAAATGCAAATAAAGCAGAGAAATCCAAAACCACCAAATGAATTACATATATGAAAGAAATCAAAGCAATGAATTTAACCAAACAAACAAGGAAAATGCAATCAAGACAGGTCTAGTGCTTCCCTAGGAAAACCATCACTTACTGGAATAGATAGGATTTCAAATGAGCAAAAGAAAGAAAGCTAAATCAAATGATAGGGCGTTACCCAAAAGGTTGAAGTAGTTGCTTCAACTGTAGTTATTTAGGGTTCAACTTCTAGGTTTTGTAGGTATCCTGTGGCTGGGATATTTGTGCCCCAAACGCTGATGGATCGCCGGAAATTCAATTCGCTGAAAGATATCAACCCAATCTGAAGCTTCTAAGAATTCGATTCGGCAAAATTAGAGAGAAACAAGAAACAATATGAAAGGCATGGATTAAAGAAAGGGTAAACTATACCATTGACCACTCAACTATTTATCTCTTTTACTTTTCCTATCAATCTTTCAATTTTGTCAATCAGACTGCTCTTGTTTTACAATGCTATATTTGATATATAGCGTATTGTAACGAATGCAAAAAAATGATTTAACTTTATTAAATAATTTAATTATATAAATAATTGAATATATGTGTTAATTGGATAGAAAATAAAATTAAAATATCCTCCAGTTATATTGTGACAATAATTAAATAGTTAAGTGTTCTGATTAAAAAATTGAAAGATCTATGGAAAAATTAAAAGTCTTGATAGTTGAGTGGTCAATTGTATAGTTTATCCTTAAAGAAAAATCTATACGGATTACGAATGAGCGGAAAAAGTTTCCTTTGCAAACAAACAAGAGAATGAAATAGATTTGAAGCAGCTTAAAAGGGCGCACTAATTTGGCCGGCGCGGTTTCATGGGAAAACGTAAAAATTTAGGCTAAAATACAAATTTCAGTACTCAACTATATTCGATTTTCTATTTTAGTCACTAAATTTCATAACTTTTCACGTTAGTCTTTTATTTTTTTTGAATTGTTTATATTTCGATCACTCTACCGTTAAAATAAGAAATGGGGTCATGATACGACCAATTATACAAAAATGACATCATTTTATATCCATGCATAAAACTAATCCAACATCAATCATCACGTTGGTCTCCATTATGACCACCTTCACTAGAGGTTGATGAATCTCAAAATATCTCACTAAACTCGTCTTATATTTCTGAAAATGAATATGTTGTCTGGTTAATCGAAAAACAACTTAAATTCAAAAAATATAGGGTTGATATCATCTTCGTTATACATCATCATGTTTAGGTCACCATTTGCGTTGAGACCAATGTCGAATGAAAGTTTTTTTTTTCGATTTTCAATAATTCGATTTAGATCTTTATAAAAAAAACTATGAAAACTAAACTAAAGTCTAAATCAAATAACCCAAATTCATACTTTTTTCACGTCTGATTGTTATTCGGTTGAGACATGTCACTCTTCGTTGAACATGTCATGCTTTAATCGTTAAGATCTACAAAGGAAAATATATGTACTAGAAATTGAGAGTTGGGCGATTATGATTTTTCAATAAAAAATTTGGATTTGTGATGATAAGATCAATGAGGGGTTGATGCTTAAGGTTTGGGGGGTATGCGAGAGTTTTAGGACTTTGATAATGATGATGATGCCGATGATGATTTGAGTTATTGTGAGGATTTCGGGTTGGAATCATACCAGGCGATCATTAAGGGTTTAGAAATTTGGTCAGTTAATCAAATCGTTGGATGAGTTCTAATTTCTTTTCACTTAAGAGTACGTTTGAATAATTTTTTTATACAATTAATAGTAACACATCTATATTATGTAAGGTCACAATCAAAAATCAAAAATAATAATTACTACCTTGGTTTCATTAAAATTAATATATTAATATAACTAGAATTTATTTAATGATTTCAATAATATAGGAAGAATGTTGATTTTCTTTGAATATTTGAATTCAAACAATTATATATATGTCATATTTATGTATTATCAATTATGAGTGCATAATTAAATTTATTAATAAAAAATTTAAAATTTTTAAAGGTACGACTGCACTCTCGATCAATACCTAGCTGTGGCATCTGCAAATGTACATTGGTGCAACAAGTTAGCTATGCCAATAATTCCTAACTACAAGTATCTTCCCTTTGTTCAATATTTATCATCTTTCTCCGTCGATTTCACCACGTTTTCCTTCCTCTTTGCTCATAGAAACATAGTATTGAAGACGAGGCCAACCTAGAGCATAGTGCGTATCATCAATATTTCCTTTTCTATATGAGCATGCAGCAGGCAATGGTTATGGCATCTGCAAATGTACATTGCACCAATGCCACTGAAAAACAAGTTAGCTATGCCAATTATTCCTCGCTACAGGTCTCTTTATCCCTTCCCATGTCCAATATTTACTATCTTTATCCCTCAATTAAACTAATTTGTTCACCATTTCTTCTCTCTCTTTTCCCCTCAGAGAAATTATACTATTGAAGACAAGGCCACTCCTAGAGGATACCGTGAAAGATATGGTGAGCAAGATTTTGCCGGCTGCTCTTCTCTCACTACAAGAAAATGCACCTTTAGTGACAATGTAAATGATTACTAAAAGCATTAAATTTAGACATTAAAATACATAGTGACAAATTTCAAGTAGTCACTTGTCGTCACTAATAATCCCATCATTATTATATTAGTGACAATTGTTCTAAAAATTGTCACAATTGTTCTTTTTTTGTGACCATTTATTCGACATAATTATAAATATGAATTGTGATGAATTTTTTTGACACTAAAATATATTTTGTGAACATCAATATGATCACAACTAAGTATTTTAGTGACCAAATGTCTGATATTATTATCAATAGAAATTATGATAAATTTATTTGACAATGAAAGTTTATTTTGTGTCCACCAATGTTGTCACACTAAGTGTTTTTTAGTGACCAAATATTTTATCACAACTATATAACTAAGATAATTAAAAAAATTATTATAAAATCAATTATAGTAGATATTACATTTTTAATTGTATCTATCTTCTTTAGGAACTTGCATTGCAATCATTGCCATCGATTAATTCGTTAACGATAGATGATGTGATCATCTGATTGTTGGTTTAACATGTTATTTTTTGATAAATTAATACAATACATGGCTTTTAAAATGATTGAACCTGGGACTTTCAAAGAAAGAGTGCAACGTCTAATCATTGTGCTGAGAAATAAACATATGTTATTAAAAAATATATTTATGTTAAACTATTGTTAGAATTAGTTTTATTTATTTAATATATATATATATATATAATATTAATTATTATTATAACAATTTAATTAATTTTTTATGATTTCTCATATGAAATACGTACATGGAAGATAAATAAAAAATAATAATTATGTTTATTTTAACATATAATCATATACATATTAAGATTTAAGTCTAAAACAATACCAAGTGTTATTAAATAATATTTAAAAAACTAAAATAAAAATATTTGACAATGCAATAACCCTTGTAGTGTCCTAAATTAAAAAAATACTAATAATTAACTGGTGTTTTCAAAATTCACATATATCCCAATAAATATCATATATTACATATGAAAATTAATCAATTATTTTGAAAAAAAATAATCATAATGGCACTATCAAAGCTTATAGTATCATCAGTCATTTATTTCATTCATTAATAAAAATTAATAATATTATAAAACAATATATTTAAAAGGTTAAGGTGATTTTATTTATTGAAATTTAAAATTTTAAAATGTATACATGCTAAAATTGATCAAATTAGAATATAAGACTAATAACAAAATTTTACAGTTATACAAACTATTTTATCTTAACAACAATTTTAATTATTATTGATGTCAATATTTATCACAACCAAAAATAAAAATTTAATTGACAAGCAACTATATTGTCACAACAAATATCAAATTATATATCGTCACTATCTTATCTTTTTTTTGCCAAGAAAATAATTGTGTCAATTTGCACTTCTAATAGTTTCAAAATTTTTGTGTTCGTGAAATTTGGATCAAAAATATAATCATCATAGTTATTACTATAACAACAACAAAATAAAAATACATCACACTTATTTTTATTAATAGTGTCGTACAAAATTTTTGTCATCAAAAGTTTAATATTTGTGACAAAATTACTAATAATCACTATAAATTTGTCAGTAAAAACCTTTACTCTTGTAGTGATACTTGTGACGTAATTTAAGACTGTCACAAGTATATCATTATAAAATGGTAAACTTACTAGTGAAAAAAATGTTATTGCCACAATTAGGAATAATAATAGTGACCACTTAATATGTTACAACTATTACATCATTTCTTGTTTAAATGTGATGTCAATTCAAGCATTTTATTAGTGACCAAATACAATAGGACACAACTATTCACTTCAATAGTGATAAAAAAATATTGTTAACACAAATCACCAACTAAGACTAGTGATAAAAACAATTATTGTCACAAATCACCAATTAAGACCAGTGACAAAAATAATTATCGTTACAAATCACCAACTAACATTAGTGAAAAAATGTTTTCATCATAATTATAAATAATATTGGTGACTACGCAATATATTGTCACTATTAAAATTTTTCCCGTAGAAAAATAAGTTGATATCAATTCGACCATTCTATTAGTGACCAATTGAAAATGACAATTTACTTTGGTCACAATAAAACACTATTAATGATGTATTACTTGTGATGAACTTCAAAGTTGTCACAATTATTATCTAGATAGTGACAAAATAAAAATAAGTCACAATACTCATTCTAAAAGTGACAAAAATAATTTTTGTTATAAATAACATACTTTCCGTGACGAAAGTCTTTAGTGTCATGATTTAATGATCACTAAAAGTCTTAATTCTTGTAGTGTCTTAAGGTGGTGGACTTGGGCTGAGCTTCGGGTCCCAAAGCCTTCTTCCCAGCAAATGAAATCATGAACACCGTCACTAGGGTTTGCCAGTAACAACACAGGGAATCACCTGAGTTTCAGGTGTCTCCAAACGATCTTCCCCAAAATGACTTCAACATTGTCTTTCGATTTGTTCCTACTTTCAATGAAAGGCCCAGGGAAGACAAGGGACACTCGAGTGGGCCTTGTTTTATAGTTGGAGTACCAGGTTCCTTTTATCAAAGACTTTTTCCAAGCTAGACCATTCACTTTGTGCATTCTTCTTATCGTCTTCATTGGCTCTCAAAGATTAATTTGTAAACAAATTAAAATAATGTTATTGCATAGGGATCA